TGGCTCAAACTGCCACATTGATATAACAAGTTTTCGTGCCAAGTGTCTGTGAGAGAGGACAAAATTCAATTACTTGAATAAAGACAGATAATATCATTTTGATGCCCATGGGTGCTTTAAGTGTCCCTGTGGGGACTGGCAGATGTGACACAGAATACCAGATCTACAGTATCCTTCTGTAGCCACAGCAAGAGGTGAGGCATGATGCTTCAGGACATCTAGAAATTAGACTAGATGTAATTCTTTTTATCTGTGCCTGTGATTATATTTTGCCTAAAATTTTAAATGTGTTCCTGCTTCTTAAAGAAACATAAAAATGAAGATACTTCCAAATCACCATTTCCTGGCTATTTCCAGTATCTTGCATTGGATGCCAGAGGCTTTTGTCTCTTTGCTCCCCCTATATGAAATGGGTAAAACTTGTAATTTTACACAAGAAAGGTATAAAAAAAGGTCATTGCTGTTTATAAAGTGTTCAGCATTGTAGTAAGCCCATCACAACTAAACTGAAAGAGCAGAGGTTTAGAACAGATGTTAGGAAGAAATTCTTCGCTATGAGAGTGGTGAGACACTGGAACAGGCTGCCTAGAGAAGCTGTGGATGTCCTGTCCCTGGAAGTGTTCAAGGCCAGGTTGGATGGGGCTTTGAGTAACCTGATCTAGTGAAAAGTGCTCCTGCCCATGGCGAGGCAGTGGAATTCAGTGATTTTTGAGGTCCCTTCCAACCCAAGTCATTCTATGTTTCTGGGAAATTATTTAGAGAGAGACAGAGAGAGTAGAGCCTGTCAAAGTTGTGTATTTCCTTACTGAGTCTTTTTGATCCTGTCATCCATCTCATACTGGGATATTTAATTGGCCTCATTAGATCTTTCAAAAAACGTGTGTCCATGTCCAGAGCAGTACAGCACTTCTTCCCACCTCTGTTGCATGACCATGTGAACAATTCATTTCTCCCTGTTAAAATTCATCTATATATATATTGTTAACCTCTTCTGTGTTGACAGTCTTCAAATCTTATAAAAATCTTCCTAATTGCTGAAAATATTAAATGTCAGTGGTGCTTAAATTGGTCATTGAGCTTGATATGGACCAGTAATTCAGCTGTCAGCAGTGCCTGTTAACATTTCCCCATACCAGTTTCTTTTCCACCTTTTGATGGCTACAGTAAATTTCATCTTCTCTACTTTAGCTGATGATTTTCTGGCATGGTTGTATTTGCTTTACTGTATTCCAGTACAGCTTAATCTTGTCTCATTTGCAGTTGATAAATCCATGTCATGCTTTACCTACTCCACTCCCCACCAACATTCTATATCTGCAGGTTTGCACTTTATTATGTCAACCTTTGAATGAGTCTATGGTTGTCAAACTTGCTCTACTATTTAACTGTCTTCTGTTAATACATCAAAGCCAGGGTTTTCATGCTCCAGCCTAAGCAAATATCCATAATGTGACAGTTTAAAATTAAAATTTTACCATCTTGACACGTTATTTGTACCAATTCTGAGCAGGTGATAAATCAGATCTCCTGTAATTAAAATGTTTAATGCTCTTTTAAGTTTTTTCCTGAGATAAAATGGGATGTAGTTGTTTTCATTTCTCTCAGCAGTGCCTGTGTGCTGCTTCTTCTTACTGCTGACAACTGAGGTAAAGTGTTAATGTGTCTTCTAAGTCACACCTGCACTGTCTTTTGCTTGTCTTATTGCTGCTTCTGGGCATTGTCCCAGTTTGTGTCCTGTCCTAACATTTCTAAAGAGGTTATGAAACCCTCCTTCTCCCTGCTTCTCTTTGTTCTCTTTATAGGGTCTAATTCAGCCTGATTTTCAGCAATTTTTAATTAAGCTTTTAAATTTATTTTAGTCCTACTATTTCTTTTCTGTAGTGGAATGAAGAATTTGAACTTGGATAATGTAAATTAAGAAAAAAGCAAGTAGAACACAGTTCCATAGCACTGAATAGGCATCACCTGAATTTTAAAATGGATAGAGAAGTTTCCCTTGACTTCAGTGACTTACTGATCAACTCATGCCTGCAATGGCAAATGGGACCATATTTATGAGTGTTTACCTTAAGGTTTTAGAAGTTAGCATGATAAAAAGTAAAACAGAAATCATTCATAGAAGAAATGAAGGAAACTTGGTGTCTTATGTGGTGAAAATAAATGGCTTTTCATTATGCTGGTATTTATTGTAAAGGGTAAGTTCAGGGTGTTGTTCATAACTTTTTCAAAATAATGCTTTCAGAAAAGTTTTTAAGAGAATGTGACCAACTGATAAACCATACACTACGGGAGACTTAAAAGAAGTTTAGGCTTATTCCAAGGAAGTCTCCATAGGTTGGCAGAATGCTAATAATAACAGTATACAAAGAATACTTTTTCCTTTTTCCTTTAAGAAACATGCTTGACATTGTGGAAAAAAACTACAGAAAATATGATGTGTTGATCAAGAGTAAGATTTTTATCTGGAAGTATTGTCAAAAATTCTTGTACAGTACATAACAAATGTGTTTATATTATGGGAAATTACTCCAGGCAGACATGGAACGAAGCTGATGAGTTATACTGCCTGTTTTCCTCAGTAATTCTTTACAAACCAGTACCCACTTTGTTTATGTGATTATTGACCATTCTTAAAGTTCTAACTTTAGTTTAGTTTCCTAGTTTTTAATATAAGATACAGGCTTATTTGTTTATAAACAGAGTGTTCACCTGTATTGGGTAAAGTTCTCCACTCAACTGCATTGGAAAAAGAAGAAAAAAGGAATTAAGAGTGTCTTGAAGTCTTCATGGTAATAGAGGATCTTAGGATAAATGATTACCTCAAGCTTTAATCTGTTTGCAAAACACCCTTTCTCAAGTTGTTTTCCCATCCCAGGAGATTTTTTTAAAAAAACACCTCTATCACTTAAAGGGCAAGTGAAAAGTTTGATTAGGAGATACCCCACATATTCTTCCCAGGAGTTATTTGGTTATCTTGGGCCCCATTTCAGATTTGGGCATGGATTACATCTCATACTATGCAGTACGTGGTGTTTTAGGCATTGCTGAACTGGGAGAGTGTAAAATAAAAACCGTCAACAGAAAATAGTTTGGGGCCTTTTGACCTTTAATTTGACTTCGAAAATTATATTGAAATAAAATTTATCCAGCTCTGTTTAGGGAAATACAGGCTCTGAATGGACAGATTCATTCTGGTGGAGGGACAGGATCCAAACCACTGGTGCCTCTTGGAGCTCAGTCAGCCAGGATGCAGTGCAGTCTGCCCCTGAACTAGCCAAGCTTTTGAAAATGTGCTAGACATTATGCCTAAACAGTAGACCCACTGTAGTCTCATCCGGCTTTTCAATTAAGTCTCAGATTAGAAAGCATTGAATTGAATAGATGAATGCTGAACTTGGAGAAAATGACAAAAAAATTTCATGTTGGCATTCAGTTAGAACAGAAGATATCTGAAGAACATGGACAGATCGAGGGCCTCTCTGTAGAAGAAAATAGCACTGCTGTCACCTTGCTCCTTAAGTGCTTGAATGAATCCTGTTCTGAGAGTAAGCCCAAAGAACCAGATGAGCTCTCTGCTGTCTTTCCCAGCCTATTCCTGAAAAAGCTTGGGTCAAGTCACCCTCTATAGCTGGTTTTAAGAATGCATTTGAGGATGTTAACAACTTTGTTTCAGTTGATATAAAAGAAAATTATCAAAGTCAAGTTGTATGTGAAATCTGCTAGCAGTCAAGTAGATTCACATTAATAGTATTGGATAATGCAGCACCTTGTGCTCTATATCTGCACAGCAGTGAGGCTCTGGAAGGTTAAAATGCCTGGCTTCCACATGGGGGAGTTGCCAGAGAGTGTTCATCAGTGCTTTGCATTGGTGGGGATGCTGTAGATGCCTCTGGTGTTTCAGGTCCTTGCTGGAGACTTCCAGCAGGTTATTTGCAAGTCAGTAGAAAAAACACTTTCTGTTTCACGGACTTTGGAAAAGGACTGTCACTGTTTCATATAAATATCTGAGGTAGGTTAGCTAATTCAGAGTGGGAAAGAGTACAATGTGCTATTCTTAGTTATACTGCTCTAAAACCAAAGGACTTCTTTCAGGTCCTGTGATTTTGGGCAGAAGAATAGATGAAACCTGTTTTTTATTCTTAAATTAGCATGGAAGCCAGCTTAAGAGATGGAATCATTGGCTGTGAGAGAAAGCATTCATAAATATCACCTCACAACAGCTAGCCAGATATTGTTTTTCTTGTAAAATTTATAGCTTAGCTGTCTTTTGCTCTAATTGTGTTGAACTGCATGTGTTGACCTTTCTGAACATATATGAAAACCGCCCAACTATGTGTCAGTTGTTCCTGCAAGGCAAATGTTGTGTTTCATCAAGTAGATGTTTGTGGTGAGACCTGAGACCATCTTGATTTGTTCCCAGGAGCTGTGAAATGCTGAAAAGTCACTGCCTGCCTTTTGAACCACAAAACTGTGCTAAACTGCAGCTTAGCTCAAGTGTTATCAACGTTTTGGATCGATTAGTTTAGAGAAAGAGACAATGTGAAGGTATATGTAACTATATGAAAATAGTTTTATAGGGTTTCTTTAAAGCTTATCGTTGATACTATTGTGTGTGTGTATGACTTGCAGAATATATGAGTATATATAATACTTTTACCTGTATAATTGTTGATGCTGAAGGAAAGGAAAATATCCTATACATTGCTGGGTTTTTTTCACAACTTTCCTGTATCTCTCTTTTCATTCTTATTCGGTCAATGGCTGGAATTCTGCCTTCCTCGGCTCTTGAGTAAGATGATGTGAGGGGGAGGTGTTCAAACCACTTACTAAGCTCAGGAAGAACACATCACTGTGATCACTGATATGTTGAATGATGAAAAATTGCAGTGTTTCCCATTGAAGCTATTTTTCTTCCTAGTATCACTATGGGAGAGTTTAGACAAAGAGATCACATGAAGGTATATGTGACTATACTGACTTATGTTTGTATCTGTTTGCAGGAATCTCGGTGGCCTTACTTATTTGGAGCAATCGCTTTTCCTTCATTGATACAAGTCGTGATTCTGCCTTTTCTTCCTGAAAGTCCTCGTTACCTCCTACTTGAAAAGCATAACACAAGTGAGGCAGAAAAAGGTATGACATGTTACTTTCTTTCAACAAAGGCTGTCTATTAAAGGAGTGCAGGCTGGACATACCTGATTCTGATATCACACTAAAAGCAGGATATTCTAATAGGAGAGATTCTCTTGGCAATACTTTTTCTCACCTTTTTTTTGTCTCTGTATGCGTAAACATAACTGTTGCTTTGAAGTTTTTATAAATTAAATTCTCCAACAAACTAACCTATATAGCATTATATGTGGTGATACAGACCTAACCAAATCATCCTGCTGTTGTGCGTCAGCCACCATATGCAGGGGTCATTTGGGATTGAAAGGCGGTTCCAGTTGTTGTGACTCTCCCTTATCTACGGTCTTTGCAGTTTGATTAATAAAAACACAGTTCCTACTTTTTTTTCCAAGTAGTCACTGTGTTTGACCTTGTGCTTCTGTAACTTAATAACCTTCGTAGATCTAATAAAAACCTCATACATCTGTTTAACTGAAAATTTCCAGTGCTTCCATGTTACTTCTGTTTCACAGACACAGACCAGAATATTTTGTTCTTACTTTAGGTTCTGGGTATAAAACAATTTGCTTGTGTGATCACAGCTGCTGTATTCTCTGCCCCAGTAAATTTACTATGGTCCCAATACAGCTGAGAGAGTATTGAAAATTTGTTCTTGCTTATTATAGGGACACATTAAAAACAGGAATGTACAAAGAAGGACAGAATCTGATTATAATACCAAAATATCAAACGTAACTGTTTTACAAATTATTCCTAAAAACTTCACTTGAATGTAACCCTTAACATTTTCAGTCATAAACTAGTTGCTTGCAAAATTACTTGCAAAGTGTGAATCAACACCTGAAATAAAAATTTGATAATCTTTTAGCATGAAATTAATGAAACTCTATCCTGTTTCTTTCCTTATTAAATTAAAAACTGACCTCTTTTGTTCTGATGAGTGCTCTGAAAAAGAAATGGTGCAGTAATGAAGAGACTCCCACATTATTTCAGTTTGATGTTGAATGAAGAACTCAGTGATTATTGGAGCCTCAGACATTTGGAGATATAGTTCAGTGCTTAAAAAAATAGCACAAAAGCAACAAGGCTTTGGGGACAGTTCTTTAGCTTTACAGAGTTAGCAGAGATTTGAGGAGACAGAGAACAGCTTTTCCAGGGACCATGAAGGAAAGTGCTGGCCTACCAGCAGTGGTCAGAGTGCCCAGCAGGGATGCAGGACCCAGAGTGGGGCTGGCTGTTTGGTAAGTTCTGTAGCACCATGGTTGGGCTGGGAAGAAATGCCTTTGGGTGCCAAGTTTAAACTGGCTGATATCTGCCTGATAAAATTGTAGATGTATTTTCAGAGCTATGGTTGGCAAAGAGTCTGCATCTGCAATGCTATTGCATAATGTCACACTTGTTATGAGGAACTATTGCAACTCCTGCTACAGTACCTGGAAATCTCAGCACTGACAGTGAAACTGGGCCTCTCATAGGTAGAGTTTAAAAGTTGTAAAAAAATGGCAGTAAAATAACACCACTTGCCTTGAAATTCACACCATTTACTGTTGCTGTTAATGGGCCAACTGCAGTCTGGGATGTTTTCAGCATATGTGTTCTAAAAATAATTTGAAAGATAATACAGAGGAATTTGAGGTAGGTTTTGGAGTAGGAGGCAGTAGGAGAGCAGTTACCCCTGCTGTATTTGGTAGTTGAAGGAAAATGAGCTTTGGCTTGCTGATCAGGAGAAGATGGCTTTCATAAGCCACCTTAAAGACTACAAATTTAGATACTCTGAGAAAAATGAAAAGACTGATACAAAAAACCTTTTCAAAGTAACTGCTTGTCAATAGAAGCTTTTGGACTTGATTAATTCCAGAATAAAAAAACCAATACTGAGATATGTTGTAGTACAGAGTGAAACTCATTTTGAGTGTAGTCTACAGCAGAATTCACAAAATAGGAGAGTGAATCAACAATCAAGACAAATCATCTGGATGTTTGCATTACCAGCAGAAATGAGGGAGGAAAAGTCTAAGTATTAGGGAGACTAGAGGAGATATGAGTTATTAAAATGCCCTTCTGCTTGTAAGTCATATTATGACAAAGCAGTATTCTCCATTTTAATGATGACTACAGTAATGCTCTTGAATTATTTGCCTCTTAGCTTAAATCTGCATATTAATATCGGAAATATGCAACTCTTTCTTCTGACTAAATCCCCTTTCTTTCCCCTAATGGATCAAGGCTATTCATGCAAATGTATTTTTCACTGTGGATTATACCTTGTTAGAGAAATATAAAACTGTTATTTGTAAAAGGTCTACTGTATCTAATGCAGATGACTACATTAGTCTTTATGAAATACTCTAAAATGTGCATCTATGTCAAAGCTCCTAAAAGGGAGCTGACAACATTAATCTTCTTAATTGTTTTGGAGCAATAACATCCAGTGGGATAATGTGGGTCATTGAGTTTCCACAAAGTTTTGCTCCTGCTTTGATCCCCCCCTTTTTCTTCTCAGTCTCAGGAAAGAGCCAGACTATAACTACCAAAATACAAGTGGTCTTTTCTAGCAGATGTCTTTAAGGGGAAAATAACAGACTGGAAGGAGGAGAAGGACCAAAATGTGTTGTGTAAGCAATGAAAAAAAAATGAAGAGGTGCAGTTAGAGCAGGAAGCATCATGTGTGAGCATAAACTACAAACCAATGAGAGAAGCTGCTCTGTGAACACAGGAGTAGTGAAGCCTCAGCTGAGCAGTGTCACCTGCGCCCTGGTAGCAGGGATTTACCAGGTCTCCTCCTACCCCCTCTACAGCAGTGCAGTTGGTGCATGCTGTGGGCAGCTGAGCCCATGTCTGGCCCATCAGCCACACAGATGCCGTGTTCAACTTGTGGTTGTCTGCTATCAAAAGCAGCGTTAACAGCTGAGCTTGGCTCATCTTCCTAGGGGTCATCATCCTTTATCTGAACCCCTGAGACCAAAAGGAGCTGAACTCTCCCTCATATTTCTGTCTTACTGCTGAATGTGGGAGAACTGATTTATGTGTTGTGGGAGGAGAAAAGTTAACTGGAGCAACGCATAATCTATAAACCTGCTTTGCTCAAGAAGCTAAAAGTCTGGTAATGGAGAGAGGGTGCAAGCATCCCAGCTCTACTCCCAGGTCTCATAACTACTATTCCCCTCCCTTGGTAAGAAGAGAAGGGAGGCAAATGCCTAGCATTTAACTGGTGTGATCCTTCTTCATAATGCTGACTGGACAGCAAAGAAGAAATGGGTATTTAAGTGCTTGAAGAGAAGGGCCTTAGAAGGAGATTATGGGAAGGAAGAGCAACAGGGCTAGAAACAGGAAGAAAAGGAAAAACTTATTGCTATAGTTACATCAGTAATTTCCCATCCAAGCTCTAGTAGCTGCCTTTTAGTTGCATGGCAAGTGCACCCCTGACCTGTGACTGTCACAATGATGTAATATAAATAAAATCAGTAATAGTCATGTGATAAAATGGAACACTTTTTATGACTAACAACATTTGTTATAAACACTTTCAAGTGGAGAGCCGAGGTGTCTCTTTTGAAGTATATTGTTACAAGGAGGAAACCTACATTTTCTGTGCAGCTACAGGAGCAGGTCTTGTCAATCAAAAATCGAATTCAGCTGACATCCCAGCTTGCTAGAGAACAAGAATATTGTTATGTCAAATAACTTAGATAAAATGTCATGGTAACATCTGTTGGTGACATGCAAAATCTGTTCATCTGGTATGTTCAGTCATACATTATAAACCCTGTGGTTATGAAAGAAGCATTACAATAGGTATATCAAGAAGTGTAGATTTAAATTCTTAGAAAGATGGATTAGAGTTGATACCTTCTCGCATGATAAGAGAGCAATACCATTCCTGATTTAAGAAAGCAGGCAGCTAATTTTTTACAAAGCCCCTTGTGGGACATGGACAGGAGCGATATTAAAACCAAATTCATACCAGCAACAAGTTACTGCAAATTCAGTAAATGATTAAAATGAACTGTTTATGACTGACGACAAAGACATATATGATTTATTTTTGTTTATCTGTGGATTTTGTATGTCTGTAAGCATTATAAACTATTCTTATTGGAAAGGAAGAGACAGCTGTGACTCCTACACTTGCTGGCTTATGGTATAGGCTCCGTCTCAGATGGTTGCTGACTGCCAAAAGCTGGAGTGCTTGTGGTGTTTCTGATTTGTTTCTAAACTTTTCTTAAAATTCCTGTCTCTTACAAAAGATATTTGGTTCACTGGACTTTAATACAACTCTGTTTACCAGCTGTTGTGTTATTTTAGGGTGGCATGTGGATAGTTTGTTTTACCTGTACATCTTAGCTAGTTTAGGGTGAACCTGAACAGGCCTATCGATAGTCTCTGAAGCCAGACATACGAAAAAGGTAAAGATGCAATCCTTAACTCGATGATAACTCATAGAAGATATGTGTGTTCTTTTCTTAGAAGAGGAAGGAGGTGACAAATGGGAAAAGCCTAAAGTTTTTTGCTTGCAGTTATATTTACTGAGATTTAATCTTAAATTTTGCTATGCTACATGCTAGTAGATAATAAATATTTTGCTAGATTTAAATAGCATTATTACATTTAAATCTCTCCTAGCAAGATACATCTAAATTATTCTTCTGGCTATCCAGTACTCTAATGAAATTAGTCATATGTGAAAATAACTAGTTTTTTTCATTTTATCAATTATTTTTGTGTTGACATGGAGTTATGACAGGGAAATTTCTACAGTCAATTCAAAAGCATTGAGGTTGGGTGAACCCCATATGTCTACTGCTGCTCAGAACAGCAACCAGCTTTATAACAGTGTGACACTGTGTTTAATGTACTTAATCAGCAGGGAAGTGAAAGTGAATGCGTCCATGGGAAACAGATGACAGTAATACTCATGCAGCTTATTTGTATTATTTTTGTTTGTTTTTAAAGACATAAGCCTAAACTACCTGTGACCACTTCTCTCTTTTTCTGCCTCTTCTCGCCTGAGGCTGGCTTTATTCTCTAAACCATGCAGTAGCATTTTGATCCACTAAAATTTCTTCTCAAAGTTTACATGCTAATTCTGTCTGTAGGATAACAACTGCTTTTTTGCACAATCCTGGAAGTGCTGCAGTGGAAAAAGCATTCTCCATGTAGCTGAGTTCTTGAGTCTCCATCTTCAGTTAATTTAAAGGACTGATTGGTTTTAAAGATGGTATTGACTGCTTTTGTTCAGATCTTTGAACCACTTTCAAATGCTACACCTTCACTTAGCCAAGAAGAAAAAAAACTAGTGGTGTAAATGGAAGTGTAAAGTTTCCCCTTGACTGGAACCATCCACTTGTTTTGCTGTTTATAAAGACAGCATCCCAAGATTCGAAAGATGAGCATCTAGAACCTTCTGATCAAAGGGAATTAAATAGAAATCTGGGAAAGGTCTAAAAGTTGCTAGAACTTCAGCTCCTTAGATGGCTTGAAGTGCTACATGAAAATAAGACTTCCTTATAGAGAGAAGCAGACAGTCACGGAGGGAAATGAGTCATTGCAGCAAGGAGAGGAACGACTGCCGTGCTTCCCAGTGACAGCAATGCAGGGGTTTAGAGTGTAAAATGAATAAACTGAACATCATACATTGAAAGACCTTTGAGTTTTCCCATCTCCCTGCTAATGCAGAATTTATTTCCACATTAGTTATGTATAAAATTGAGATTCTTACGGTACTGAAAACTGGTAATGGAAGAAAATTAAAGATATAGCAGGAAAACGTTTTTCCAAGCAGATTGGGTACCGTCTACTCAAAACTGTGTATGTATAGCAAAGCATTTTCTTAGCTTTTCTTGATTTGTTGGTAATTTCAGCAAAGCTTTTGATACTGTCTCTCACAGGATCCTTCTGGACAAAGTGTCCAACCCACAGCTGGATAAACACATCATGTGGTGGGTGAGCAATTGGCTCATGGGTTGAGCACAGAGGGTAATAGGGAATGGGGTAGCATCACACTGGCCACTTGTCACTAGTGGGGTTCCACAGGGCTCCATCCTGGGCCCTGTGCTCTTCAAATCTTCATAAATGACTTGGAGGCAGGACTGGAAGGGATACTAAGCAAATTTGCAGATGACACAAAACTGGGAGGAGCAGTTGACTCCCTCAAAATCAGGGAGGCCCCACAGAGAGATCTCAACAAATTAGAAAAGTGAGTTTCTTTGATTTACTCCTAAAGTGAATTAAGCTAAATTGAGTTAAAGCTGTTTGTAATTCTGCCTGGTTCTGCAAGCAGAAGGGCAGCGGCCTTGTGACTAATCCTGGAATTTGTACCTTCCCTTCATTTTTTGTCCCTTGTCCAGCCCTTGGTCATTTGAGAGTGCTCAGAGGTTTAACAAGTCTGGCCTCTGGCAGATTAGGTGGTTGAATTGAATACCAATATATTGTAGTTCAATCCATAAGGATTAATAACTCATTTTATTCTCTCTGATACAGATCTGGTACTACACAAACAACATCTTCAGTGAAGCTGGGATCAGTCATGAAACAATTCCCTATGTTACGCTAAGTACTGGTGCTGTTGAGACTCTGGCTGCTGTTTTTTCTGTAAGTATGGTTTTAAAAATCCATTAACATGCTTGATATTTAAATTACTGATTTTATTTCCTCACACAGGTTAAAAATATAAAGAGAATAGTATATTGATTAAGTGTAACACTTGATAAAGTGATTGAAAATATTATTTCTAATTTTAATCCTAAACCCTGTTTTGCATCTTTGGGATGTTTTTTCTAAGATGCTCTTTAGTTTTAGTTCCATAAAAGGAACATATGAGTTGGTATATCCTGAGGTGCTTTGTATGAGCGAAGAGGAAGAAGACAGAAACAGCAAGGCCCAAAGTATATTAAGTGGTAACTCATAAATGATTTTACCTGGTAAAACAACTTTACCTGGTAGCAGTTTATTCACATCTGAGAGTCTTCTCATGTGTCTGTTTGTAAGCAGACAGTGTTGTTGGAGAAGGCTCAGGCACAGTACAGGTAGGTGTGTTCACTGTGGCTTGCAGAAACAGCCACCCAGACTGGTGGAAAAGTGAGCCAGCATGCTAGAAAAGGGTGTCCCGTTTCTAGGGTGGTGTTAAATTCTGCTCTCTCACTCACCAAGGACAAGCAGGCATCCTTTCGTAACATGTGAGCTCCTGAGTAGGTTGGGGACCTTCACTGCACTGAATGAAGAGGAAACAATAGAAAAAATCATCCATGCATATTTTTTTCTTTCCAATTTCAAACTGGAAAAGTTGACTAGGAAAAAAAAATACACTAAATGAGCAAACTTAATCTGAAAGTTTTAGTAGGTGAATGCACGATTAATTGCTAAAGGAAATGCATTTCTATTTGCACTGCAATAAATAAGAAGCAATGGGAGAGGTCTTAGGAATGGAAAGTTGCAAACAAGCAAGTACTGTTTTCTTTCCTTGCTAGAATTTTTCCTTATCTTCATATATTCTATACTAACTGTATTTGCACAATACTGGACACACAAGCCAAGCATTTTTAAATGTCAGAAGAACAGTTTTGGAAAAAAAAATCCTTTTCTGTGGCAGAGCAACTGCTTATGACCTACAAAATGTTAAACTAAATCTAGCTATCAAGTATATTTTCTTATTGCCTAGGACATAAGGACTCTAAAGGTCACAAATATCTTCTTCTGATCTTTTTGAATTTCCACAAATCTATTTTTGGCTAAAGCTTCTATTTTTAATTTCTTTTTTAATTAAAGAGACATTGATTAGTAGGGAAATATGGAAGTCCCTACCTGTTACAGTTTCTTCTTTGTGATACTGCACAAACGCTCCTCTGTTTAAGATATATGTAAAAACAATTATGATAATTCTGCCACTGATATAAGTGAAGAATACACCTCTTTTATGTGAAAACAGATGAAAATTACATGGAGATGATTCCCTGATATTAAAGCCATTATATAAATAGGGTCTGTCATCTGTGCTGTCAGTTTGTGGGGCTTATGCAGAGCACACTGTTCATACATAATGAGGTGGATGTGTCTGCTTTGGCTCCTGGTATGTGTAACTTTTTGTTCTCAAGAGAAGTGTTTTTAATACTTTTTCTGTTTAAGCTACCTGCTGTGCTTCTGGAAATGCTGATGTGTTGATATCTCTTCTCTCTTCAGATTTCTCAGGTCAAGAGATGCTGCTTTGTAGCCTTAATTTTATTACAGTAATCTTCAGAGATGTTTCATTGCTGCTGTTTAAAGCAACAACAGTGTGAATTTCATTTTTCAGTTGAGGGCTTTGCAGCTTATTTATTCAAGTAACTTCCTCTAATTTTCTTCATTCCTAGCACTAAGGATGGGGCATTTCTTCCCCCTCTTAACCTATCCCAATGACTCTTTATGCCATTTTTGTTTAATCTATTTGACAGCATTAAATGTTAAGTCAGATGTGCGCGCCTTTTGTACCACTCAGGAAATAAACAGAAGAAAGCAGAAACAGGACTTTATTTTCCTGGTCTTTTTAATATGTTGTGCTTTCTAGAAGAAGCCAGATTTTACTTACAGTAAACTCCAGGATTTCAGTAGAGATAATCAGTAACAGAGATATAGTTTTTGTCCTTGTAAATTCGATAGGAGAGGCCCACAAGAAATCACGTACCATCTGTGATCATTATGCCTAAATGAGGTGGCTATGAGACTCTGAGCCTCAGTAAGAATACTGACGTATTGATGAGCTCCATTGATGAATGCCAAAGGAATAGATTGAAATAGACATATTTCACAGAAAACAAAGTTAACATTTAGTAGAGAAATATCGAAACTGTGAAAAATTTTGAAAGTCTCCCTTTAATGTGTCTCCTAGGAGCAGCAGCATATAGTAATAATGTTGATGTGGTTCGTGAGGAAAGGCGAATAACATCCCATCATTTTATAGCTCTGTATTGCCTCAGATCACTTGATATGCCAGCTAGGAGCATGCTTTGCCTACAGCTCCGTTCCTCTTCCCCTCGAGCGAAAGCCATGTTACCAAGCCATTGAAAAGTGAAACACCTGTATTGTTATGTTCCTTCCATTCATATAATTTGGCTACAAATTCTACTTACACTAGCACTTCCTAGTTTACTTCACAAAACACCTCTGTTGTAGCATTGCATGCTTGATGCCCCCTGGCTTCTCTCTAGGGAGAGAATATAAACTTCCTGTATGTTTTTTCATTAATTGTAGAGAATTCCACCCACTGTACTGAACACAGATTCGGTTTAGAGGACTGATTAGACAATCTACTTTTTAATGAGGGTGCCCATTAATTTCAGTTTACTTCTGAAGAAGTTTGGTGTTCTCTGGAATGAAAGAGTGAATGGATTTGCTACTTGTAGGCATATTACAGCAATATGTTATCTAACCTGAAACCATTCATTAAAGTAGGATAGAATATACCTAAATAATTCCCTGTGATTATTAGAAGTCTGTTCTATAAATTCTGCAGTAAGGGGATTCCACAAACTTAGTTATTCTTTAGTAAGATTGATTACTGTGGCTATTTTTAAATTTTTACTGATTGAGGTTAGTTAATTTAGTTGTTATCTTACTCTTAGTGGGCAAAAAGAACAATTCACCAGTGCCTTTCTTTAGCAAGGCAGCAGGGTGAATGTAAAGGGACAAGTAAGCTTCTGAAAAGGTTCCTTCCCTCCTCCATGAAACCAGCATAGAATAAAAAGGAATGTTATTCAAATTAAACATCCCACATCCAATTTTACCATCTGTGACACCACATTTGGTCTTTATATAGTGTTCACAGAAAGAGACTAGCTATGGCTATATTGAGAACACTGTGCCTTAAGCATTTCCCATAAGGTGATGCACCAAGGTGTTACTAAAAGCCTGTGACAGAGACAAGCCATACGAAGCCACAAGTGAGTTAAAATACATTTCAGTACTAGACCATAAAAGAATACAGGAAATCCTTTGCAGTATCACACAGAAGTCAAGGAAGCCAACCTTCTTAGGCGAGATGATTTTATTCTGCTTCAGGATCTCATGAGAAAGAGCTCTTAGACTTGGTCTGTGTTTCTTCTAATGTTAATAGATCTTAACAGAGGAGGGATTCCCTGCTTGGGCCATGGCTCATCTTAAAACAAGGGTACTCCAGATATTTCCATAGGTATTCTCATCCCCAACACATTTCCTCCATGATTTCCAAAGGACAATGTAAGATATCTCCATTGAAACTCTGTGGCTCTACTGGGGTCAGAACAGGAAGAAATATATATCATTGAAAGCCAGTCATATCAAATGAAAAAACATGGGGTGGCAAATACTTGCATCTCAAGAGTTCTTAGGGAGTTATGCTATAATCTGATTTTTAGTAGGATTTTTAAGGCAGTCCCATGTGAGACTGTTCACACTAGGTCAGAATCAACCTTCACCTGTCCATAAACCCCAATAGGATGTAAGTAGAGGAGAGTGCAAGAACATGGCATTCCTCCCTCTTTCTCCCCTCATCTGGACAAGCTGTTGCTCAAGGACTACCAGAATTTGAAAGTTATATCTTGACCTGTAATAGCCTGGATAGAGTCAGCAGTAGAAAAGAAAGATTGGCCAACCAGCATCTCAGATCATGGTGTTTGTTGATGGACAGAGGCATACAGGCACATTTTCACTGCAGGGTGGACTGCAGAGTGTGACTGCGTTAATGCACACTGCATTCATCCACAAGTGATCAATGGAATTGCTGTTAGACAAAGACGTGATTCTTTTTCAATTGTTTTAATACATGTGGACTTATGAATAGACAAGGCTTACATGTGTTGAAGTAACCATGTAGTGCCTTCCAGGAGAAAAAGTCTCATTATGAAGGTCTACCTTACAATGCCACTCCTAACACCCAAGGTGTACATGGTTAAAGGCTGAGTTTATGTAGTGCAAATCCTTTTGCAGGATACATTCAGAAACTGAAACTCTTAAAGCTATCTCCTGCTGCTGAGGATTTAAAAACACTGGTTTTGAGTAATGGTTGTATCAATCTGGTCAAGATGATCTTCATCAGGGCATTCAAATACTATCATTAGAAAATAAAGCACCAGCCACAATAAGCTGTCATAGATTAAGGTTGGGATCTAGTCTTGCTTTTATAGCATGAACATGGCATGAGACAAAACTTAGGGCTTTTAACAGCTAAATCACCGACAGAAGGAGTTTTGATTCAGAAATATCTACAGTTTACTGAAGGGACATCATAGGAACAAGGAAATGAGGTGCTTTTGTGTTGCCCTAGGGGCTGTTGCCAAGCACTGCTGAGGCAAAAGCATCTGGCTAGATGAGTTCCTGTCTCAGTCATGCTGGTCTTGCAGGCGTCGACTATGGAGAGCATCTTTAGTGAGTAGAAAATTTCTCTTCCAAGGCTGATTAAGGATGCCTTACTGCAAAATACTTCAAACTGAGCTTGGAAACTTAGCAATCAATTCTACCCTTTGCTGAGAGTAATCTCCAGCCTGGCAGCTACAGAAGGTGTGTAGGATCTTATCCTGTCAGGACTTTAACACAGATGCAGGCAAATGCAGCAATTTATTTAAGGCTTTTGCTTATGTGGTCAAACTTGATGCTAGGCCTGTAAATTCCAGTTTAGGTACTTAAATACAATAACCCTTTTTTGTTTTAAAATGTATAATTCATAGAGTAGACCGATGGACATACATCAAAATACAAAGCAAAACCCCTCAATTTATAATGCTCAGTCTGCTGTTCTGCTTCTTTTCCTGGATGCAAGATACTACACATTGTGTCATAAAGTTACATAAATGAGATTATACTTTTTCATCCTGATACTTAAAATGGAATTAAGAGCTTACCACATTAAGTCTGAAAACAGTCATACAGTCTAACTCAGACCTTCATCCAAAATATGTCAGAAAGAAAGTAGGGCTACTATTGACATTAACATACAGAGCAAACTTCTTCACAGAGCTTCACATCAAGAAAATCTGACAGAGTTTTCTTAGTATAATCTAGGACCAGGATATAAGTAGGGAATAGTATTCAGTGACCTCCTATTTGGGCTGTAAAACTTGACTAGACATTCATTTTGTCCAGACAAGCTTGTCTGATCTTTTTTTAATGCACTCTGCTTTCATTATGTCAGCCTTGGTATCTGCAGCTGACTCAAGTGAAAAGGTTGACATTTGCTTCTTTAACTTTATTCACAAGTGTTTCCTGCCAGACAAAAGTAAGTTGTGTGAAATGTTAACGTAGTTTGCATATCAGTTGCCTTATTATCACCAAACATTTGTGCTGAGAGAATCTTGGTTACAATATTTTTTTACACATTTTCAGTAATTTCAGCTATGTTAATTATCATGACTGGGTATAGGGTTCTGCAAAGGCATGTTTATGATCACACATAAACAAGTATCAGCCTACACAATTTGGCACATAACTCAGTGTGCTATCACTGAAAACAGTTGTAAGGTTCTTCTTTTGTCTGTACTAGAGCATATACTGAATTTCTTGTTATTTCATTTACTCTACTGTATAGTATATTTTGACTTGTTATAGGTCTTCAATAGGTAACAGTTACCAATGCATAGCAGTGGAGCATTCAAAACTATAAATACTTGAGAACTGGTGAATCATCTTCCACTTCTTATGAGTCATAAGCATCTTAGTGGGTTTTGCAAGTTAACAAGTTTTGAATTAGTATAATCATAACTAAAAAAATTAATTGCTGTCTGTTTTTAACCTCAAAACCAGCATTTTTTTCACCAGGGAAACTTGCTATTGTGGAAGATGTGTTAGACCTTGCTTTTCAAGTATTGCTGAATCCTCAAAGTGGAAATGCTTATAGGATTCCCAGCAATTCTGAGACAACATAGTGTCCCTGTGAGTAAGGACAAAATTCCTGATTATTTTTCCTGTGAGGGAAGTTGGTCCATTCCATAAATGACCAGAAGTGTAACGAACAACAGCAATTATAAATTGTTTGGGTCAGAAACTGCAGCTAGTGCCCAGAAGCTGAAGCATCCAAGTTCCTGAATGGTTCTGTATTAAACAGATAGCATTGATGAATGCTTGGGAAACCTGGCATTAGCTCAGGAAACAGAATGTCATAGACTTGCTTGCACATGCATTTACTTTATTTCTTCCCAAATTATCTCTGAGTAAAACAGAATTCAAATATATTAGAAACTACTGTTATGTTCTGTAAAAAGGATATAGAACCCACAGATCTGCTGTAACTGTATCTGCTTGGCTGGTCTCAATTAAAACAGGGAGCGCCTCACCAACCCACCTAGTTTTACACAAATATGTCCACAGTGTAGGTAGACATAAATGCATGCACATGTTTTTTTTGAAGGACTTGTCCAAGCTGTTCCCCCTTACTGGAATTTGATTTGCTTTGAGCTTTACAACTGAAAACTATGTATCGGATCTTCATCACGTTTTGTACGAGAGGCATCTACGACCCTTTTTGCCTCTAAGAAAAGCATAATCCCTTACCCTGTTTTAACATAAAACCCACCAGCTAGGGAACACTGAAATTGTTTAATCATGACCACCAACCCAGCATTGAAAAAAATAAGAGAAATTGCCCAGTATGTCAAATTACATGTGCAGCACTTATAGCTGAATGTGTAATTCATACCAAATTACATGTGCAACATCTGTTGCAGAAGTCTCTGTCTTACAGACCCGTTCATCCTTCAGATCCATAAAAGATGTCTCTTGGTTAAGTGTATGTGTGATGCAAGATATTTCCATTGAAACTCGGTGGCTCTTACTGGGGTCAGAACAGGAAGAAATATGATCCAGTGACAGCCAGTCATAGCAGGTGAAGAAAATGAGGTGATAAATACTTGCATCTCGAGAGTTCTTGGGAAGTTACGTTATAATCTGTTAAAATCTATCGGCAAGATGGATTCATTCATCATAATGGAAACTACTTACCATCTTGTAAAGGTTTCAACAGTGAAGCAGTTGCAATTTTGAAACATTTGGTCCTCGTGAGCACAATGTGAAATCTTATTAACATCAGTGCGTGTCTTTTTGGAATTCCATAATTCTATTATGGAAGCTGTGGAAACTTTCCAAGTGAGTATATTTTGCCATTCAAAGAAACAAGGAATGCTAAATCTTGCCACAGAGCTGCTTTCAGTGTTCTGCAGTGTAACAGTGCACATCTCTGGTGTGGAAGTTCAGCTCAGGGTACAAGGTGAACACATGTTGAAGCCTGTCCTAAGATCTGATGCTCAACCCCACTCTGAAGAAGTTCTTGCCACTTGAGGCAAGTCTCTGGGTGACTTTGTGCTTTCCTCTAACACATTTCATCTCAATGCTCACAGGGGAATGGTGTGTCCTGTCTCCCAGAATTAAGGGTGTTAGTCCAGGTTTCATTTTACTTGCTCATTTTATCTTTTGCTCAAAAGATATGTGGAAGATGGATTTCAACCTATAGTAAATAATTATATGACAAACAGTCATGTGAGTCTGACTCTACCTTATTTGAAATAGTACATTTTGGGCTTTGTAAACTTGTTTTATTTTTCTCATAAGAAAACCAACTGTAATTGTAATTTTAGTAATTATCAGCATGAAAATTACATCATCCATTATGACCTAAAATATGTATTAGCCTATTTTAATGAGTCAGACTAGCAAAGACAGTTTCATGTTACAGGTTGTCAAGCAATTCTTCATTGTGTTCTTCTCTATTCAGATTTTGTGACTTATATTCAAGTGTTAAATAGAAATTTAAAATGAACATGAGTGCACAAGTATCAGTGTTACAATCACTTGTCTGAGCAAAATTTTCTTCTGGGTGGATTTCTTTTGTCTGGATATTCTAATTACGCTATCTGTCTAAAATTACGACTAAATGTTTCTTCTGTGTTTGGACAAAAAAAGAAATTTAAAATAAATTCTAGTTTAATCAAAATTTAATCTATGCTAAAAAGCTTTAAGACTTAAATTTTAAATGTTTAAGCTTAAATTCAGAGAGAGATTGAAATTATGAAGCAGTCAAAATACAAAAGCAAGAGACTATAGTTTGCTTCGACATTGGCATTTAAAAATTACATATTGTAAGAATGTTATTATAGAAATTTGGTGCAAATTTGTGAGCCATTCAATCAATCTACAATTATTTATGCCTCGTAAAAAAAAATCAAACTTCATTTAATTATCATCATATTAATTATTTTTATATGGCTAATGTACATCACTTGTTTTATTATTAAATTGTTGCTCAAAAAGGTAAATGTAGCAATAACTTTGAAATCATCTATGCTAATGGTGTTAAACATGAATTTACCCGTTGCACATTTTTCTACCTATATGGTTATATTTGTTCTGTAGTAGGAAATTTGGGCATAACGCAAATACCAACTACTGCTTTGATGGTTTCCTTGTCTTTTCAATGATCTCAAACAAGGATGCCATGCTGGCTTGTGTTTTCAAAGAGGTTAAATTGTGTAAACATAATTGTGAGCACAATTATGAACATGTCATAGCTTATAAATAGTGTAAAATCAACTCTCATGGTTTTATTTTTAATCTTCACGTTTACTGGGAGAACATATCACATGGTCCAAGATCTTCAGTGCTTTATGAAGAAAGTCAAATGCCACCTTTTGTTTTCCAGGGCTTGGTTATTGAACGGCTTGGGCGCAGGCCTCTTCTCATTGGAGGTTTTGGGTTGATGGTTGTCTTCTTCTCTGTACTTACTGTCTCCCTGACTTTACAGGTAACACTTCAGTCACTCTATATTTTTACTCTCTCTTTGACCTATTTTAAATATGCTTGATACTGGTTGGCCTCGACATTCCTACGTAAGTGAATCCTTTTAATCAGTCTGGCATAAGGATTGAACGGTCTCTTTTGCTAATTTATGAATCTCTTGACTTAAAGTGCTATCATTAGTCACAGCAGCTTTTGCATTAAAAAGCAAGAGGGGCTTTCTCACATTCTGTCTCCTTAACTCAGAGATTTATTCATATCATGAACTATTACGAAGACAATTTTACCCATAGTTGAGTAAATAGTTTTTACACATTCCATGAGTTTATCTTTGTGATTCACTCTCTCTGAGATTTCTTTCTTACTTTATATGTCATCACTATTTTAGGTTTGGATTTTTTTTTTCCAGTAGTGAAAAAATTTCATGTTTGCTATTTCTTCAAGTTACTTGTCTGCTATTTGTATAGGCAATATAAAGATTTAGCCTTTGGGAAACATTTGCACTTAGAAAAAAGAGGAGGATAGACTTTTTATCAGGGCTTGTTGTGATAGCACAAAGGGTAAAGATTTTAAACTAAAACAAGACCAGTTTAGATTAGTTATAAGGAAGAAGTGTTTTACAATGAGAGAGCGTCAAATGATGGAACAGGTTGTCCAGAGTGGTGATTGATGCCCCATCCCTGGAGACATTCAAGGTCAGGTTAGATGGGGCTCTGAACAACCTGATCTATTTGGCAATGTCCCTGCTCATTGCAGTGGGTTTGGCACTAGGTGAGTTTGAAAGGTCCCTTCCAATCCAAATGATTCTATGACTATTTATTCTAAGTTCTCAGATCTTATTAGCACTCAATTCCCCACCTGTTTCAAATGATCAGAGGAGGATTATTAAACCAGTTTAAATTCTACCCATGGGTAATTTTTCCTTTATTGGCTTCCATTTACATAACGATGCAGTTTGTTTCTCTTCCTGAGGACTTTTGAGAGGTAAAACTGGCATCTGCAATGGCATGGGTTTGGGTGGTCTTTCATCAAGTTGCTTTCCTGCTGTTATTGATACCTGTGTGGTGCCATTAATCTGACTTTCAAATCTCCTTTCTTGTTCGAAGAGAGTCATTAAGTCAGTGTGACTGGCAGGTGTACACCACAACATTACAAAGTTTTTGTTTGACTTACCTGTATGTACAGCACAATAAAGCTTTACTTCACATACTGCAATCAGGACAGCTGTAAAACAGCTCTCCTCCAGAAGAGAGATGCTATTGCAAATCTTGTATGCCGAGTGAAAAATTCTCTTCTAGATCTTTTGAAACCTAGTTTGATGTGTGAAGACCTTCAGCTATTGTAAATCCATGAAGTCTGAATGGCTTTCAGTTTTACATCCTTTCATCCAAAGTGTCTCAATCTGTTAAGTATTAGAGATTTGCTTTGAACAAAAGACCAGGATACAAATAGGCTTGATCCCAGAGGAATTTGTCTATTCTGTATTTGCACCTTCTCTTTCTCAGAGACCTTGGATTTCCTTCTAAACAAGAACTCCAGATTGTGTAATTTTGATAGATTTGCAAGCCTTTTGGTTAACGTTAATGCCTAGGAGACCATGTTTTCAACAGAACTAAAGGAATAACTCAGACTGGAAGAAAAACCACATCAAAAAATAAGGGTCTTTACTGAAAAAAAAAATATTTAAAATAAATTTTTATTTATTTATTTTATAATTAATTCTCAATAAAATATTTTAGCAAGCATATTTTTACAGTGCCATTCAAGGTGATATTTTCTGATAGTACAGTTACATGTATCTTAACCAACTTTTCAAAAATAGTAAAATTCTAATAAAAATATCATTCACACTTTACTGGGGAACAAACCCCTCCTGTCAGAGAGAGAAAGAAATGGGCATCCATGGTTTTTTCCCATCTTAATGGTATTAGAATCAGGCATACGTGATTAAGAAAAGTGTTCTGCTAACTCCATAGAAATTGCTCAGCATGTTTCAGGTTCCTATCATTTAGAGGTCTGAATAGAGAAAAATCTACTTAGAAGTAGAAGAAAGACTGCCTTGGGAGGAAAATAAGTGATGCCATTTACAGTTCCCTTAAAGAAGCATTTATAGTTTGTTCTGATTTTACCTCTACCTATTGTTTGCAGACATGGCTCTCCTTGTCTGCAAAGTAAGATTATGGTTGAAAAATCCCTGGACTGTGGCTTCCCCAGGGGCAAGGTTCAGATTCAGCTCTCACACCGACTGACAGCGTGTCGTGTCTAGTCTTCAGCCCAGGCTTTGACTGCTGAACTTTGAAGCTCTATGGGCCATCGTAGTGGCTCTTTCTAAAAATGACTGAAATATCTGAGGAGGCTGGCGGTGCTTAATCTGTTCGTTGGAAAGAAAACCTCTTTTCCAGATTGGCTTGAACTTTAGCACAAGAAGTTGAGAATTTTTAGAGTTCTGACTTCTGTGGTGCATGAGCTTGTCTAATGTTTCTCTACAGGGATTCCACAGAGACCAAGATTTTTAATATAAGTCATCTAGTAAGGTCCTGCAGAAATACTGTGATTTTCTAAAGTAACCCTAGACTAAATTCTGAAATAGATAAAGAATAATGGAAAACACTATCTGTGGTTTTTTAAAAACTATTTTTGCAAATATTTGTGATACATACAATATGCTTAACATGAATGTCTTTTATCTACCCAGAACACTGTGCATTGGCTTCCTTACCTAAGTATATTTTGCATCCTTGCAATCATTGCATCATTCTGCATTGGACCAGGTATGTCTTTATATATTTTTTCATGTTTCTTTGCACATCAAAGCACAGATATTTTTTCACTGGCATTATGTCAACAAATCACTTGTGTGGAACTTCACTTTACCCTTATCTGAATACCACAAGGGGTCTAAGTCAATAAAAGATAGAAACACAAAGTGATAGGAATATTCTTGACAAAAAAACCCTGTACACGTGTTCTCACTTAGGTGTTAGCATAATTGAGAGTTAGTGCCTAAAAAATTAAAATCTTGACTATTATTGTAGGATCACTGTGATTTTTCAAGATCTTCAAAAACACTCAGACTGGAAGCTGTGTTTTATGTAAAAATTGTTGTGTTAGCACCTCAGTGCTGGTGGAATTCAAATGGGGCACTGGTGGAGAGGGAGGAAGGGAACAACTGTGTGTGTGGTTCCTTTGTTCTCTTCCTTTCCAAAGACAAAGAAGCCCCAGGTGAGAGGGTTTACACATCTTCTCTTTAGGAATATGATAGAAAAGGTAGATGCCCTTATAGTGGAGCTGCTTCTTTTCTGTCAGTTCTCTAGAGATTGTATGCATTTCAGAACTGATGCCCTCAGATAACTGCTTCTGTAGGTTATAGTGTGTATATCAGAGCTAGTTTCTCAGCTCAACTTTGATTACTTAGAGATGAGTAGAACTTTATAGACAATCTGGTACTCACAGGTTGTAATTTTTGTATTTCATTTTCTTTAACAAAGAACATGTTTGTGGTATAAAAAATTGATAAAGCCAGACCTTCCTCAGAAATGTAGAATAAAAAGACAAGAGCAACAGTCAAGTCTCAGCAAGGCCTTCTCTGACTGGATAGAGGAGAAAAATATTATACTGAGATGTCGTGGTTTCAGAATGGTATTCTCCAATTTAGTGTTCCCACTCAAATTACTCCAAACCATACATCACTTGCTCACTCCCTCCTTCCCCTCCCCTTCCCCTGTGGGATGGAGAGGAGAACTGGAGGCATAAAAGGTAAAGATTATGGGTTAAGATAAGAATAATTTACTGGAAACAGCAATGAGGTAAGAAAACAAATAATAACAGCAACAATACCAATGACAGAGGGTACAAGAGAGAGGCAAACAATTCACATGGAAACCCCCTGACAATACCCAACCACTCCCACTGCCATGCCCTTCCCCTGCCACTGGAAAATGACATCAGATGGTATAGAATAACCTCTGAGTCCTGGCCATGCCACTCCTGGCTACTACAGATGTTAACTCTGTCTTGGCCAGACCCAGAACACAACAACATAAAGCACTGGAAGACTTCACTGAAGAAGGCCATGAAATGTCTGTCCTTGGAGCTATTCAAAAGTCAGCTGCACAAGTTCATGAGAAATTGCCCCTGCTAAGACCAGCTGAACTCCAGAAGTCTCTTCCAGCCTAATTTATCCTGGGATTCTAATTGAATCACATGTTTGGAAAACATATTTTAATAGAGATGCAAATACTTGTCTGAGTGTAATATTTATCTAAATAATATTGCTCTAGCCTTCAGATACTTAAAGAGAATTTAATTCTGAAGTTATCAAATAATGAAATGTTAACGAAAATTATTTGCAGATAGATAAAGAAAAATGTAATCCAAATTCAACTGACATACAAAGATGTCAAAACAGTGCTTAAATTTTCAAAGATTCTCTTACAAGTTGTCCTCCACAAAAAGGGGAAAAGTCAGCTGCTTTTTAGGATTTTTTTCACAGTTGCTCAGCAGTAAACCAGAAAGTAAGACTTCTGTTCCCTTGAGTTCTCAGAGCTTTTTTCATGCACTATTTATTGCCTCTTTTTCTTTGTAAAGAGTTTGACATTAAACATTAATCAAATGTTTATACATTTTCACCACTGGAGTGGTTTAATTGATTGATTGTGGTTTATTTGGGGGAAGAAAGAGTTCCTGATGTTTAATGTGACTCTAATGAAACATTGTTGTCATTCTGTGGATCCTCTTTTGGAAAGCTCAAAAAAAATATGCTGCTTTAAAGCAAAAATGGGGAGAAGACCAAGATATTCCTTTTCCCCCTGTTTTTGGGAAAAGAGTTTGTCACTAATTTCTGTGCAAAATACTGCTAAAATACTGGAAAAATATTGCCATCCCTTTGTCCTTCTTACATATCTCAGTTTCAGCTACATCCACTGTATTGCTGACATATATTTTGTAGACTGAGGTTGGGTCTTTTTTTTTTTTTTAAGAATTCTGTGAAATAGAACTGTCCTTGAATTTTGGATACCATAAAAATGTCAAATGTTGAATTGAAACTTCTTGAAAACTTCCCTTCTAGTGTTTTAAGTAGCTCAGACAGTTAATGTGTACCTCCTTGCAGCATCTAGTTTTGGGTTGTTTTTAAAAACCACAAATTAGAGTTTGAAACAAATTGTAGTTTTTTTCCATATTACAGATACATTCCACCTTGAACTTGCAGATTTGCAGATGTTCTTACGAGTTATGTTTTAAGCATATGAAGATTAACCCTCTATGTTACTCCTTCACCACATCGTTCTTCAACATGGATTCTGGTTTTCTTCATTTAACTTTTTTCCCTTTACTATTTTAGCATACTTTAAAGTCAGATTTAAAAGGTAGGTTTATATTCAGATTTAAATTCTCTGTTCTCTTTAGTGGGCCCTAGGAGATCTGAACTACTTTACTACCTCTTAGCTGGGCAACTTCCAGTATTAGCCACGTTTAAAGATGATTGAATGAGAAGAGAGCATTTTTTTTTTTTTTGAACAAAGAAAATATTACCAAAAATGAGACGTCCACTTTCCATCCACTGCTTTTTGTATCACAAGACATAACTTCAACATCTGAGTGCCATTACTGTGTCAAGTTTTGACCCCCCATCCAAGACAGGAAATGCATCAGTAGCCTGTGGCAAGTCCATTGGAGAGTAACCAAAGCAGTGTCAGGACCCCTGTGAGAAGGGACCGGGTGAACTGGACTTGCTCAGCCTGGAGAAGAGACAGCTTTGGGGACATAAGAGCAGTGCCACTACCTATGGGAAGGGTGTTGCAACACTGAAGTCAGTCTCCTGTTGCTGCGTGGTGAGATGCTTGAAGGCCAGAATGCACGTGTTGAAACGGGAAAGATTCAGCGAGGCTGTAAGAAAAAGCTTTTTGCTTATAGGCAGTCAAGCAAGCTACTGAGGACATTGAGTCTTTAATTACTACACAAAGATCAAAATTGAGTAGTTTGTACTTCTGCTTTTTTCCAGTGCAGTGGCCATAGGAAAGTGTCTAGAGTAAAACAGAAACAGGACAAGTAGGTGAGACACTTTTCCAGAACCAGAGCACATCTTTTTCAGTTTAGGGTCTTCCTGAGTCATAGCTTCTAACATTTTCATAGTCTTCCATGGATTTGTTAATTCTTTGTCTGAAACTGCAAAATTTCAGCATTCCTTGACAAAGAAAATTACGTGTTGATCACCTCTCATGCTCATGTCCTTTGTTGTTCTTTGTGTGATGCCCTCTGGGTCTTGCAGAAACAGAGGAACTTATCCCTTTTTCCCCTCTCCAACTTTCTTGTGATCTTGTAGACTTTTACTTTGTCACCCCAGATTTTTCTGGACTGAATAGCTATTTCTTATTGCCACTTTCTCAGTGATATTTTATGACACCCCTTTAGCAGGAAAATTTCACACTTCAATATCTAGTATTCTTTTGTAGCACTCTGGTAGTTTAATGAGACAAGATTCAAGTTCAGGAATAACTTTCCCACCTTTCTGGTCAGTAAAAGGGTTTTTGCCTAAGAGAATTAAAGCATGTTCTTTATTATAAATCTGCATATTTTATATATATTTAGCTTTTCGTAGAAGTTTTGCCATTTATTTGTATTGGTTAAACAGGTACTATTGTCATGGTGTAACTAATGCTCAGTATCTTAATTCCACCTGTAGTTACTCAGAGCATTTCAGCATTCTTCAGAGTAAAAACACATGGTTTGTAATTACATAGGTACAGAACTTAAGCAAGGATGAATTTAGTTTGTGTTCATTGAGTTATTGGTGCTTGGAAGAATTATCTCATCTGAAGATAGTAAATAACATGAGGAACCGAGTTTATAAAAATACTGCTCTAACTTTCTAGAGCATAAAATTGCTTTTAAAAGTACAATATTTTCTCTCTTGTTAGCAGATCTGATACCTTCTCCATAGCTTACGTGTTGTGTGGTCTTCCACTTTCTGATAGTATATGAATGACTCCCATCTGCTCCTTTAAAGCTGGGGTCAGCTGTTACTATAAACTGTGGAGAGGGTTTATTTGTTTCACTTTTCTGAATCTGGCTTTTCAGCTTGCAGATATTTTTGAGGACTGAAACAGTAATGTTAGCAACAGGTATGTTCAGGTATGCATGTGGTTCAGTACTCCTTCATTTTTATCAAAAGACAAACATAATAAAGCTTTCACTTTCTAAAAATTAAAGGGACCCCTATGTTCAAGATAATCAATCCGTGATCTGACAGAAAAATACTCTTCAAAATTGCTTATTGTTTTATAGATTAGGAAGCCATGCTGGTCAGACAGCCACTTCATTGTGCCTATTTCATTAATAATATAAAAGTGAAGATATTGGTTTGCAGAGAAATATACTGCTTTCCAATATTACTTTTGACTATGGGAACAGGTTATTAAACAATTTTAAGTTTTCCTTTCCGTAAAATGGCAGAAGCTTCATGGAAATGTTTTTTCTTGGTCTCACAGTTGACCTGAAATAAATATAGGATACATTTCAGCTGAAGAATTGTCATCCCACAAAGAGTAAATAGAAAGAACTGAGGGGGTTGGTTCTAGCTCCTAAGGATACAACAAAAAAAAGCCAAAAAAAAAAAAAAATAGAGAAAACAAATAAAAGAAAAATAGTAAGAGAACATTTTCTGTATCTCCAAAGAGTATATGTGTTGTTCAGGTTAGGCATCATGAGTAAATGCATTGATTTGTAATGCCCTTACTGAGTGGGTAACAATGTGCAGCTCCTTGGAAATTTG